TATATATATATATATATATATATATATTAAGAGAACTCTAGGGTATCATTACGAATCAGAATTATTTTTTAATTTATTTATTTCTAAAACTAGCCTTCCCCTCTTCCCAGAAATCTTTACAGTTGTTATCACCATCTTACAAATTAAGCTTCCACTAAATCTTCGATATGTATAAATATCAGCCCCCCATTGAACTTAATTAAGTAATTGATCGCCATATAGGAATACCAGGTCAAACTTAAATTTAACTAACTGGTACCAAAATAAAGTATTGAGCCAAACTATGTGAATTAGCTGGCTCAGATGAATATATAACAGTTATACCTTAAGAATTTTCTTTTTAATTTTGAAATTGTGAATGTTTCTCCTGTAATCCTATGTATACTTGCATTATTGCATGCAATAGTCTACCGTTTCTCGAAAATCTTACTTTACCTTTGGTGATTTGAGTTAATCATTTTTTTTGTCTAGGGATGGTACAATATAAATTGAAGGTCAATGTCATTTATTAGAGATTTGAATGAAATATGAAAAGTTGCGACTTTTATGAAAAGTTGTTACTGTAATTAAAATTTGTGACTTTTATGAAGAGTTGTGACCTTTCCGATAAGGCACAATAAATATTTGATGACACTACCCTTTGTTGTCTATAAATAGAGGAATTTCCTCTGATTTTGAAACAACGAAAATTCTGAACTTCTTCTTCTTCTAAACAATCAAATATTTGTGTACTTTGTTCATGTTGAGTGGCTTACTACCACCATTGTTTTTGTATCAATACACTGGTGAATAGAATTGTTCTATCCTGAAAGGATTTATTTCTTTAAACCTCGGGTACTAAAGGAGAATAATTTCCTTAAAGGGACACTATGCATTTAGTGAGCTTGATTTTTTCCTTTCTGTTTTATAATATTGTTATAGATCATATTATGTCTTTTTACAGTCATTAATTGTTATTTTTGAGTACATGCTTTAAACTTTATTGTTTATGTTTCTGCAAAGTTATTGTTATAAGTATTTGTTAGTATAGATTAAATAACATAAGTTAATTGAGTATTCACACAATTTTCTCTACTGCAATTGTTGAAGGTACACTAAAAAAATCCCTTAAAGATCTATACTACCATCTCTTGAAGACAAAATTCAAATTTGGTATGCCTTTTGTAAGAACATAAAGATCTTAAAAAATCTTATCGTACCTTGATGTACGAACTGACCAGGAAAAGAAAGACAAGAATTAATTAATAAGCATTTGACAGGACTTCAAAGATGTTGTACCGGATGACATATAGAGAAATATGACTAGATTGGAGCCTCTTTTAATTTTAAAGACATAGATAACTACAAAATAAACTAATTGCTCATATTCAATATAAAGTATTTATAGATTCTCAAGTTTACTGCAAGTTGTAAATAATTTTCTTGAAGTAATAGATGTGTTTTTCGACACTGCAATTAGAATAGAAGTATAGTATCAAATTGAACTTCATCACTTTAGTATGCCGATTTTTAAAAAGCACCCTAACAAATAGAATTGTTTGTGTAATATTTTTCTCTTTCAAGTACATATGATAAGTTGAATTGTTGTCCAATATGATACATTCTTCCTTTAATTTTCCATTTTAATAATTTCTTATGATAATTTTAATGGGGAACTTTAAATTGATATATGTAAAGCAAAAAGTAGGGCTGAACTTTCTAAACTTTAAAATTAGAATATTTATCCACTTTTTTCCGCCTCTTAAAATTTATTTATCCCTTCACAAATGATTTTTTATTTATTAGAAAATTTAATATATCGGGTTGATGTTCATTTGATCCCAAAAATCTCAAATAGTAATACTTCTGGAAAGCAAAAAGATAAATTATAAAATTATTAATGTTCATTACTACGTAATTTTGTATGTAATATAATATAGTATTTTAGTTTTAACGACGGATAGATAAGTATTATTTTATAAATTTCGTGATACTAAAATCTCCGCGCGAGACACGGATAATTTTACTAGTTTTATATAATTAAAAATTCAAAACTAGTAATACACATACGATGTGATATATGATGCGAATTATCACGTTGGACGCACGTTTGTATACTTGTCCAAATTATTACTCTTTCCTTTTTCTTTCCCCGCTTGAAATCAACCTTAACTAATGTCTAATTTAAGTAGTATTATGTATAGACGGCTCAAATGGGCTTCATATATTTGCTTTAGGAACGCAAATTCTTGTTTTTGGATTCGATATGTGGGTTCAATTGCAAACTCTTTGTACAATTGGAACTCAAAAATTACTAGTTCTTTCAAGAAAGGTGATGTTGAGGGGGCACGCAAGTTGTTTGATGAAATGCCTCAGAGGAATGTAGTAACTTGGAACTGTATGATTTCTGGGTATGTAAGAAATGGGATGCTTCATGATGCTCAACAAGTGTTTGACACAATGCCGAGTAGAAATGTTGTTTCTTGGACAGCCTTGTTAAGTGGGTATGCAAAGAATGGGAATTTACAAGTGGCACGGCGGATGTTTGATGGAATGGATGATAAGAATGTGGTTTGCTGGAATTCAATGATCTCGGGGTACGTGAGCAATGGGAGAATAGAGGAAGGTAGAGCGTTGTTTGATGCAATGCGGATTAAGAATGATGTATCGTATGGGATTATGATTGAAGGATACTTCAAGTATGGGGATGTGAGTGAAGCTGAGAGGTTGTTTAGTGAAGCACCAGTGAAAAGTGTGACACTTTGTAATGTTATGTTAGCAGGTTATGCTGAAATGGGGCGGACTGAGGATTCGTATAAGTTATTTATGAGAATGGCTAGGTGTGATGTGGCATCTTGGACTAGTATGATTACGTGTTTTTTAAGAGCCAGGGAGGTGGAAAAAGCTAGAAGGTTGTTTGAGGACATGCCTGACAAGGATGTCGTGGCTTGGACTGCCATGATTAAAGGGTATTGTGAAAACAATAACGTGGAGGAGGCAGGAAAACTTTTTGCTGCAATGCCTCAAAAGGATAATATTGCATGGAATTCAATGCTAAGTGGTTATCTGCAACATGGAAGACTGCAAGATGCTCTACACCTGTTTCATACAATGCCATGTAGGAACACAGTATCATGGAATTCGATGTTGTGGGGTTTCATTCAACAAGACGATATAACTAGTGCTCGAGAGTTGTTTGAGCAGATGCCTAGAAAAGATGAAACCTCATGGAACACTATCATTTCAGGATATCAAAATGAGGAAGCTTTGGTTTTATATATCCAGATGTTGCAAAACAATTACAGGCCAGATCAGACCACATTTTCCAATGTGGTCTCGTTATGTGGAGTTCTTTCTTTGTATGGTTGGGGAAGAGCTTTGCATGCCAGTGTAACTAAGAGTGGCTTTGAAAATGATACAATGATTATGAGTGCATTCATATCCATGTACTCTAGGTGTGGATTTATATATGAAGCTTCCTCACTTTTCAGAAGTTTGAAAAAACGAGACACAATATCATGGAATGCCATGATTGTAGCACAAGCATGTCATGGTTCGACTAAAGAAGCCCTCGATCTTTTTCCTTCTATGATTCAAGCTGGATATGAACCAGACCATGTAACTTTTCTTGGTGTCCTAACTGCTTGTGCTCATTCTGGATTAGTGGACGAGGGTTGGAGCTACTTTGTATCAATGGAGAAAAGGTGGAGTATAATTCCAAAGTCTGAGCACTATAACTGCATGGTTGATCTCCTTGGGAGATCAGGGATGCTAACTGAAGCCTTTGAACTAGTCAAGCAAATTCCTCTTGATCTCCCTGCTCATGCTCGGGAGACATTACTTAGTTGTTGTAGAGTCCATGAAAATTTTGATTTAAGTGATCTAGTAGAACAGAAACTTCTAAGCCTTCAGCCTTCTAATATTGGAATGTGTGTGCTTTTATCAAATATGTATTCTTCAAGAGGAATGTGGAAAGATGCAGCTCGTGTGAGAGCACTACTTAAAAAGTATGATTTGAAGAAAGAATTGGCGTGTAGCTGGATTGAGATAAATGGTTGTATTTCTCAGTTTGTTTCAAATGACAAATGCAATCCTAGAGCAATGGACATATACAAAGCATTAGGAAGTCTTTCTGCATTGATTGAAGATAGTGGCACATTAGTTTATCGGGGATGTTATTCAAAATTCGGTTCTTCAGAAGAAATTAATGTTCCCTAACATATTTTTTCCCTTTATTTCAGTCTATAAAAGTTCCAGAGTAGAATTTCTGTTTTCCTCTTGGTGAATCCCTCTGGGATTGAAAACTTACTCACTAAAAAACCTTTCAAGATATTGTGAAGTCTCATCGAGAGGTATGCTTTTCAACCATATCTAAATTGAAGATCTACGCGTGTTAATTTGTGGAATGCATCAACTTATAGGTCCCGTTTCTTTGACAGATGTTGCTTGATATCTCTGATAGATGCTAGCCCATTATGTGCTTCTATGAAGACCTGCAACCTAATGCTTGACGAAGGTACACCCGTGAAAGCCACACTTGGGGTGCAATTATTGGTGATAGCTCCGCGTTTTGGAAGGTAAGTTCAAACTTTAAGCTGTTTTGCATTTTATATACGAGAGCTAGATGAGAATCTTGAATAAAGTTGTGCTTGACAGAAGTGAGAATTGATTTAAGCTCTTGCAGACGATAAATTTCCCAATGTTAGAGGAACTTTTGAACAGGATACAAGTAAGTTTTACATACAAGGTATGAGATGTAGGATAGGATACATACATATCTTTTGACATATGAACTTAGTAAATTAAGCATAAATAAATACAGAAAACATATGCATATGTATATGTATGTGTGTGTATATTGACACGCGCCCACACACATAATATGTTACATATTCACATATAGAATCTTAATACATACACGTGTACACATACTGAGAACATATATTTATACACACACGTATACATGTGTGGGTAGGGAAAATACATATTTTCCTCCTTACTTGTCCCAAAAAATTTCTTATACACCTAAACTTTGCGGGCAACCCTTTACCTCCCCGATCTTGTTTGAAGAGAATCAGTTACCCCCTTGAGTGATGATGTGACAGAAAAAGCGCGTCATCTGATGATATGTCACCCGACGTTGGAACATCAAACATTGCTTAATCTTATTTACGATGGAACAATGTCGTTCCATTTAACTTCATTAAGACCCCATTTGTTTTGCTTAAGATTAAGATGTTTGATTTTGAAGACATATATGATTATTAAAATATTATCTCCAGACCTGAACAGTGAACAATTAAAATAGTTTGTTTTTTCCGACTCAAGAATCTGTGTAATTTATCTTTGTTTAAAAACTAATATATATAAAATTCCAATAGACTAATAACTAAATGTTATGTCTGCAAATATTTGGAATAACTATTAATATATGGTGTTGTATAAACTATTTGTTTGATGAAGCAAACTCTAAAATATGTATGATTACCATTTATTTACCTTGTTTTATTCCATAAATAAAAATTGCCCTATTATATAGGTAAATCAAACAACTTAGATAGAAAAAGAAGTATCACAATATTAAAAATATGCACATAAGATAGAGGTCAATAATTTAGAATGAAATATAAACATGCATTTATAATTTCACCAGTTAATTTAGCGCCCTTAAAATCATTTTATTTAGAAGGTTTATACATTTAAAAATCATAATTTTGAATAAAATATGAATTATAGACAAAGCACTTAAGTTGAAATAAGGAATTTAAGTATTATAATAAACAAATTACATATAGTGAGGATTGAAAATCTAAGTGCAAAATAAATATTGCTTGGGATAGGGGAGAAAATGTCTACGGTTTAAAATTGGAGGGAGAATTTGATTTAAAGGCAAAAGGAGAGGGACAAAACTGATTTTCTCCCTTAAAACATTTCTTCAAAGAAAGAAATATTTTATAGAATATTATTTTAACCGGCATTTATACTATTTTGGTTTGGTTTTGAAGATTTTATACTCCATTTGTCCAAATTTATATGACACACCTTCCTTTTTAGTCCGTTCCATAAAGAATGACACATTTCTATATTTTGTACTATTAGTTGTTATTCTTTCTATATTTTGTATTAATTTGGTTAAAACAAATTGATCAGCATTACCATTTTATTTTTCATAAACAACCGTCCGCTTTAAACGCATTTCTTCTTTCCTGTCTGAAATTGTCCATCCTATTGTTTCTCGTTTGCATCTCCAGGAAAACAGGTTAACCAAAAAAAGTGAAGGAAAAAAAAAAGAAAAGAAAAAAGAGAGATCTTGATTGCATGATCTCCATTAGTGAAGGAGGAGGAGGTGGAGGAGGAAGAATCTGAATGAGAGAAAAATGACGACAATGAAAGAAAAGTAGAGAACATATTTAGAGTAAAGGAGAGGAAAAGAAAGAAGAGAAGAAAAGAAACAACGGAAAAAGGAAGAAAGACGGATTGATCCTTTTGTAGAGATATAAAAGGAAAATTTTTGAAGAAGGACAATGGAGGAGAGGGTGGGGGATTTGAGGGTTCCTCTGATCTCTTCCTTGTTCTGTCTTTGTGTATTAACTGGTGGTGTCCTCCTTGTTCTCTACCTTTTCGTGCCAGATTATTCTCAGCCGTGGTTTGCTCCTGCAGGATTGATCTTGGTTGGTTCTCCTTACATATTTTGGCTCCTGACTTACATTTACACCTGCTTGAAACACTGCTGTTTTGGCGATAGCAGCATTGATGACAACCGCCAGATTTCAAGGCGGACCTCAAGGGCTCCCACAATGGGGAAACCTGGTGTTGCCAGGACTGATTCCAAGGCAAACTCTGCTACTTCTAATAGCAATAACATCAATGATGGTAAACAAGATGGAGGAGATTCATCATCTATCAACTCCGCAAAGGAAATTGAGATGCCTTTAGCCGTATGAATATTAATCGACATTATGCATGAGCTAAAGCATGAAAGAGATATTTGGATTGCAGAGATATTAATAATATGTAATTGAAGGATCATGTCATCATTCAGGAGCTGTTAAGGATGGCGAAGATTGTGCGCAAATGGTGAATGTAAGTAGAAATAGCAGAAAAGGATATTTAACTTTGTCTTAGTATTTACAAAAATTGAACAAACCAAAAAAAAAAATTGCTCTTCTTGTTTCCTAGGCAGCTGTTCTCTCTTATTTCCTATTATATTTCTTTCCCTCTTTCCTCCCCCCAACTTTTCTCAATTTCTGTTGAAACTTCAATTTCAACTGAATACAGAATGAGATAAATTTTACATATAGTATATACTCATATTTAATTACCTTCTTGTTATCTCAGCTTCCTTTGTTTGGTCAGTCTATGTGGTTAATTAGTATGAAGAATTAGAAATTTTATAGCAAGGCAGTAGTTGCATATCTTTTGAATAATTTGTTAAAGATTGGGAGGAAGGGCAGTAGTAGGGAGGAAAACATTTCCCAATTTTCCAATGTTCGATTGATAAAAAATTTTGGAATACATTTTCTCTAAGAAAATATGTTTCTTTAAAATGAGGAAAATGATTTTTCTAATGAAAGTATAGAAAACAAGTTTCACTGGTGGCACTCTACGCTGATTGTGTCCTCTCCACCCTTCAACACACTTCATCTTCACCTCCACCCCACCCTCGCCTCTCATAGTTTTTATTTAGATTATATATAAATATTTTTATGATAATATTTTTTTACTTACATACACAAGAAATCCTTGAAAAACATTTTTATTCGTACCGAAGCCCTCTTACTCCTAATGAAGTGTTTGTCCTAACTTCATTGTTTGCATGAGGAGTTAAATGCAACTAGGTTAAACATAATAAATAGTCATATCGAATAATATTTTATCTTTTTCTAAATCATCCTTGATATATTGTAGCTCCGCCCCTGTCTTCAACATGCGGCCCTTATGTTGGGACCTGATTTCTTTTTTTGATCAAATACGTGAATATTGTCTCAATGTCATATGCATATAGAGGAACTTATTAGGCACATTCTAATTGGTTAAGATATGAATGTGTCTTTTCTATGATGGAAATTAGAAATGGACTTGAGAAAGCCTAGCTGGGGGGAATTGTGACCACCCACAGAATTGAAGCATTTGCTTGCAATTTATGTCGAATCCTGAGAAGTGGCCCTCTGAAATCCTTTGGCCCTTTCTTTTTTAGATATTTTTCCATATTAATTTGTAAGCAATCAATACGTAAAGTTGTGCATTTATTATTGGTATGGACAAACTCCAACCGCCTAATTAACTCTAGTACTTCAAATTATGACTTCAACTGCTACCCAGCTACGATTAGTATACTCTATCCGTTTCTATTTATATGTCACCATTTTAAATTTTACGTGCATTAAAAAATTAAGTAAATTTGCTATTCTACTATTATTTAATTTTTTTTTGAACTCAGGTTTTCAAGTAATGACTATGAATTAATTTGTTTTGATTAATTAATTTTACCAATGAACATGAATTATTTACTTAGTTTTTCTATGTTGGTCAAATGTATATTTTCAAGGCTAATAGCTCATAAGGATAAAATAGGAAGAATATTGTAACTTATACATTGATTTTATGAAATGACAAGTATTATTGACCAATTATTTATAGTAAGGATGACGTATAAAAAGGAACGGAGAGAGTATAATTCGTTATACATTCAAACCTCTTAACTTTGGGAAGCTTTAGCTTGATTCATAAAGCTATTGTCATGTGATCAGGAGATTACGAGTTCAAGTTGTAAAAATAGTCTCTTACAGAAATGCAAGATAAGGTTGTGTATAATAAATCTTTACATTGACGAATTTTAAATTTCTAGAATATGAGTACATCGTTGAAAAAAATATTTAGTGGAAAATTGATTAATCCTCAAGGTAAATAACTTAACCTTCAACCAAGTACACTATTTAGTGTTTTAGTGTTAGCAAATAATATTATCTCAATTTATATATATATCTAGATTTACGAAGAGACCACATGTTCAAGTTCCCTGATTTTTGCTTTAAATTCTCTCCTTGATCTTTAATTTGTGGTCCTCTCTTCATGTGCATACCAAAAGCTTTAGTGCACCAGATTGACCTTTAAACTTATAAACTTTGATCGTGAATTTCGACATATGAAAGTTTTAAGTTTGTTATTTTTAATTTATATATATATATATATATATATATATCACATAATATACTATAAATTACCGTAACTAACAACTTTAAATTAAATAATCAAAAAAATATGAAAAAATCTGTTCAAAGAAAAACTTGACTGCCTCCCGAAATATAAAGTATGTGCCGTGTAAACTGGGACGTATATAGTCCACTGAAAGGCTATATATTATGAACTTAGAAATGGCGAGCAATTTGAAAAAATCGATCTAGTTACATTGCCATGAAAGAAGACGCTTTAAAGTGCGTCAAAATTCAACATCACGATGAAGAAAATGAAGAACAAATATTGATTCCGGGCTTGCCAAATCACTTAGCTCATCTTTGTCTTTCCAATCTTCACCCTTCACTTCTTTATCGCGTTTGCAAATCATGGCGACGCCTCATTTACACATCATTTTTTCCTCCTTTTTACTGTCTTTATGTTGTATGCTCTCGAAATAGCAGTACTGCTGCTACTTCAACATCATACAACAGCAACAACAGTACTAGTACTAATAATAGTATTAGTACTAGTACTGTGGAGTTTTTCTGCTTAGATCCAATTTCATCTAAGTGGACTCCGTTACCAAATCCGCCTACATCAGATCCACCAATTCGCATACTACGCCATCATCCATCTTTTATATCAAGGAGTCTTTCAATTCAATCGTTAACTGTTGCAGAACGAATGATTCTTATTGCTGCTACAACTCATAAATTTCTTCCGGCACTTGAACGGCCGTTGGGCTTCGATCCTTCGTGTAATAAATGGTTTTTTGGCCCCAATTTGCCCACACCGCGGCGATGGTGTGGTTCGAGCGCTGTAAATGGAAATGTGTATGTAGCAAGTGGTATGGGCTCAGCTTATCATGGTGATGTAGCAAGGTCTTTAGAGAAATGGGATGTGAAGGAGAAGGTTGATCAATGGAAGTGGGAGAAATTGAAAGGGTTAAAAGATGGAAGATTTTGTAGAGAATTTGTTGATGCTATTGTATATAGAGGGAAATTATGCATGGTAAATGTTTGATCATTTCATTTAAAAGCTAATTTTATTTTTTATTGAGTTAAGCACGCAAAAAGAAAATCCTTTTTTTCCTCCTTTTTAATAAGAGTGGCAATACCATTGTTACAACTTTTAACTAGGAATTTTGCCGAAGGTATTGCACAATTTTGTTGTCACTTATTAACTGTTTTGATTGATTGTCAAAGTAATAAGAAGTTTCGCTAAATATATTCAAGATTTATTGTGTATATATATAAAAAGTACTTTCTTTGTTTCAATTTGTGTCGTCCGACCTTTTTTTTTTTTAGCCCGACCTTTTTTTTTTAGCCTTTTTTGAAAAGAGAACGTCACTTTCTATTACTCAATAGTAACTTTTTAATTTCAATATCGGATCATATGACATATTTGAGATCACATGATTCAAGGGTATTTTGGTAAATGTATTATACAATCTTTAGTGTAAAATCTTAAAATTTAAAAGTTTTTCTCATATTTGTAAACTTCAAGTCAACTTAATTAAGATACATAAATTGAAACGAATGAAGTAACATTTAACTACATATATGTTGTACAATAATTTTCAGCGATTGATGGGTATATTCTATTGACACTCCTTAAGTCTATGTAGCTCTGGCACCATTGGCTTTGATACCATATTGAATCCTATGAATTTAAACTATCGAAGCTAATAATACCTTTTTATTTACTTAATTATATTTTCAACAGGTAAATATCAAGGGGCGTGCAGTAAAACAAGGTGCGGTTTACGATGTAACAACAGATGAGTGGGGAGAGATGCCAAAGGGAATGCTAGAAGGATGGACTGGGCCATCATCATCATCAACAACAACAACAACAATAATTGATGAAAGTGAGATGTACGTAGTGGATGAGACAAAGGGGTCATTGAGCAAATATGTATCAGAAACTGATCAATGGGAAGAGTTAATTGAATCTTGTGATGATTTGAAAGAAGCTGAGCAAATTACTGTTGGAAGAGGACGAGTTTGTGTCATTTGTGGCCGCGGTCGATTGATAGTTGTGGTGGATGTTTCAGTAACGCCAGCTAATGTGATTCGAGTTGTGAGTACTCCGCCAGAGATAGAGGCAATTGCTTTACATATATTGCCAAGAGTTAGTGTTTAAGATTGATATATGTAAATAATAATAATGTTGATTGATCAAATTATGGAAGATACAAGTTTTGATTTGTTTAACCTTTCTTTGATTTTCCAAAATTATTTGATATTTGTGTTAATGAAAGCTAAGGTAACATGTGATGTGAGCATTATATCAAAGTGTACTTTAACGTGCTATCTCGTCTTACTTATCATTTATTTTATTAGAAATTTTATACGGATCTCATAGCGTTAAGAACTAATTACATTCTATTCTTATTCTTTTTCAAATTATAAAAATCCCTTAAATTTGGTGGAATCCGGATACATCTCAAAATGTTCCGATACATCGCGTTCCGATTTCAGATACATCCCTCAATATCCCGATCCATCATGTCTCAGTTTCGAATACATCACTCAATGTCTCAATACATCGCATAAAGTGATATATCTGAGAATATGAGTGAGTAGGGATTTTTGTAATTTTTTCAAATGGTAGAGAATTTTAGAGAATATGATAAAATAAGTTGTGTATTTAACTAATTTTCCCTTTTTATTTTAAGATATTGTGTCCAATAAATGCTATTTTTAATATAATTACCTCCCATTATCTTTTAAATTATTTGTATACATATATTTTTTTTTTATCTTCACTGCATAAATCTTAAACTCTATAAAAATAAAAACAAATTACTTTTTGAATCAACAACTATTGAAGAATTGCCTCAAACACCTCCCACTTTCCTGGTATCCTTTTAATTTGGACACATAGGATATGTTGTACACTATTTAAAAAGTCGCTATTTTTCCTATTGGAAAATGTTCCACAGTTATTTTTATAAATATTTTGTTTGAATCGTAAAAAGAAAAAAATAATACAGTAAATGTTTTATTTGGAAAAACTAGAAAATTTCCAATTATTTTATTGAAAATCTGTTTTTCATCATGCATTTTTTCAGTGAGCGAATTCGATGAGAAATTAGTGGAAAAATTATGTTCTATAATATTAATTTTTCATTGATTTGCAATGGAAAAATCTTGATTTTTAATAATGGTAGCACTTCCACTCAGGTGATGAAATGAGCTAATTAAATGCTGTGAAAATGGATAAAATATTTCCGCTTTTAAATCATAGACCTCAAATTTGAACCTCAAAATTTGAGAAAACTTTAATAAGAAACACAACGTAAATATAAATTAATCCGATCAATTTGTTTCAAATTTAACAACATATGTAGCTATACCAAAAAGAGAATTTTGATAAGTGTATTTTTTCTTCCCTTTTTGGGTACATTTCATTCAAAAAAGAAGAAACTCTCAAGTGTTCCCTGCACGTATCAAATCAAAACACATGTTCTAAGAAAAAGTTTTAGGAATTTTATCACAGTTCTCCATTAAATTTCAAATGGATAAGAATCGAACTGTGTCTCACGATGTTTTAAACTCAATTCATGTTTTAGAAATTTTATCGCAGTTCTCCCTTAAATATCAAATGATAGATAAGAATCGAACAGTCTCGCGATGTTTTAAATTCAATTCATGTACTACTTAAATTGACAATCAATCAAACCTATGGGGATCTTCTTCGATCCTGATAAGTCGACATCGAAGTGTCAAACACTTTTTTTCTTAAGAGAAAAGCTATATATCCACGTAATGATGACTAGATACTTTTGACACAATGTACAAATTTATTAAATAGATAATAAATATAAATTCATAATAACTTTAATGTTACGAATCTTAAATATTAAACTCATAAAATTTAAATTCTAAATCCATTTTATTTTCAAAAGATATGAATAGAATATATATATATATGCACAAAAAGTATAGTAGTTAGAACAGTACAAAATATTTTTAATAAGAAAAAGGTGGAGTTTGTTATAAATTTTTAGCACATGAGGAACAATTATTATATACATACTATTCTCTTTTCATGGTAAAGCATACTCAAACATTCAACAAACTTTAACCTCATGCGCAGAAAGTTTGTCACCTATAGCTTTCTAGTTAGCTTTAATTTGCACCAAGATATATACATAATTACATTATAATATAAAAAATTGTAAAAAAGTGCACTCTTGAAGATAATTACTTTACAAAAGATGTGACTCTATAAATTGGACCACCTAAAAGTAAGTCAATATGTCATCATTCACTTTTTTTATATTAAAAAAAACAAAGACAAAGCAACTAATATAGAGGGAGACAAATTTAGGAATATTTAAGGAATTAATCAATGATATATATATTCTATGTACATATATATATATACCAAACTACCATCTTTATAAAAGCACATAATCACAATTAGGAATTCAAAATATTGTTGTGTTTTTATCTATTTGAGTTTTTTGAATTTTGATCAAATAATATGACACTGCATAAAGTGCAACATAATAAACCATATCTATTACATGACCTTTGCTTTTGTCGATACCACTTAATTAACGATATATAATCGACATAAAAAAATTCTACTATATATTAGGGTGTGTTTTATGGCCGTTATGAAAAATATGTAACTTTTTACTTTTTTTTTTAGTATTTAATAAGTAAATAAAAAACTATTATCTTAATAATATTAATTTATATATAATTTAGATATACGATATCTAGATAAAGGTGAACTGTACACAAGGGGTACGTAGGGCTAGGTGAGAGTGGGGGCGGAGAGGGGTGAGCAAGGGGGTTGTGGTTCAAGCAAAGGCGGTAGACTGAATCCAAGTTTTGAAGAAAGAGGGTTTTTTTATTTTTTCATCTTTTCTAAATTGCGCACTCAAGAAATCGGGAGTGGGTGGTGTTAGGGTTTTGCCCTGATTTTCTTACCATAATTTAAGGTTTATTTTTCCTTAAAGAAAAGACAAAACATTAACATAAATGTTTTTACTTTTCCTGAGAGGAAAATATAATATTCTTTCATATTTTATTTATTCTTTCCTTTTAGGAAAAGGTTTTGGAGTAGCTAGTTCTTTTCTAGTATGAAAGGTTTTAGGACTCTATAAATATAGGTTTGTTCCTTCTATAACAATAACATCCACAATGTAGTCTTTAAGATTTTAGTTTATGAGGAGATTTTCTCCCAATATGTTTATGTTTTTCAATATTATAGTTTTTAATATATAGGTCGTTTGATCAAACTATAATAATATTATATCTTTAGTATGTTTTTATTTGTCATTTGATTTGTCAACCATATAATTTGCAATTATAAGCTTTCGCATGACGCCCTATTTACCTTCATAACCCAACAGGTGGAGTGCTGTTGAAGCGAGGAGAAAACAATCCACATGAAATACCACTAGTGTAACTTGCATTAAATACATTCTTCATAGTTCATACTAAGCACATCCTTAAGTTTTTCAATTTACTAATCCTAAGTTTTGTGAATTATACATATACATACAATTAATCTTTTATAATAGTATATTAATTATTATATTGTCGATATATGAAAGATAAATTCTTAAAAATAAAAGATCAAATTAAATCCAAAATTTATATAGAGGTCCAAGTTGATTTACTTCCATCACTAGACCAATATAATAGGGCCTAGCTGATATTATTTCCTTAACACATGAGGCCTAGCTAACATCTAACCACATAGATAGTGAAAGGGTCCCTAATTAAGCTAGATCACCATCAGGGTGGAGCTAGGTCTGGGCCGAACCTTGTACGATGGAAAATTACATTATTCATATATAGTTAAAGTTCTTATTATGTGATTAGAAAGTCATGACTGTGAACTATAATAATAACACCCTTACAAAAAGAGCAGGATAAGGCTACGTACACTAGATCTTTATAGTCCGTTCTTTTACTAAAACAATTCCATACATAACGAAAGCTTAATGCACCGAGCTATCCATTCATATGGAAATATTGTATATATTTTAGTCTAATGCGTTTCGACAAGTATACATGCAGATATATATAAAGCAAACTTAACTAAACTCAATGCTTTTAACACATGCAAACTGAAAAAAATAAAAATTTGTGGTATTCATCATAGAGAACGAGCCGATTAAGAAAATAGGGAAAATAAAAAATAAATATAAAGCAACAAAAATTTATTATTATCTTTGTCTACTTTTAATTGTCATAGTTTTCTTTTTTAGAGTAAATTAATCATAACTTTGACTAACATTGTACGATGTATTTTTTCATTATATTAATATGCAAAAAAATGAAATTTATAGTACTTTTTGTATAGTTTTTGAATATCTAAATTTTTTATTAAATATTAAATTAAGTCTAATTTAATTTTAAAAATTAATCAAAATAATTTTTGAAAAACACAACCTAATAATTAAAAGTGAATGAAGGTAATACTACCTAACAAATGCCAAGAAGCTGACATTGACAATGTGACAAAAAAGTAGATGAAAAGCCAAAACCTCATTCCTTTATGAAACTATTTTAAGGCAAACTTTTCTAAATATCAACTACTCCATCATAATATTTAAATTATTTATTCTCCTTCATTAACCACTCTCACATTTTATTATTATTAATTAATAGTAATACCTTGTTAAAGTCGTCAATTTTGAATTCCATCCAACCTTGTTATCTTAGTCTTTTATTAATTATTATATTTTATTAATATGAATGTAAAACAATAAAAAGGTCACCGAAGCCACATGCAAATGCATCCCTTTGTTGGAAATTTTATCAATAATTGAAATGATTTAAAAATCAGTTTTTAATTTTTTTCTAGAAACTTTATCAATAATTTAAATTAGTCTTTGTACACATAAATGCAGACAGTAAAAGTTACTGCATCAACATGAAAATAATAGCAATTAAAATGATTTAATAACAAACTACAGTAGTTTTATTTATTTTTTGTTCTAGAAAAGTAGGACTAGCTAGTTGACATGACCCAATTAGAAGACTTTCTGTCCACACCAATTATGCTCTCAGTAACATTAATATATTTGTCATGGACAAGCTTTTGCTTAAATGATCGAGTTAAATTGAATTTGAATTGATAAGTGGACGGAGAGATCATATTAATCCACATGATAATGAGCTCAAATGTATCGGTTAATATGGGTGTAATCCATATCTCAATTAATTCCTGCTTCCCTTGCTCACTATTCCCTCCGTCTCATATTAATTGTCCATTGAATATGAAACGGAAGAAATATTTTTATGATGAA